TAAACCCTAAACCCTAAACATGTCTGAAGCAGCCATCCTCGGCCTCGCCCTGGCGCAGAGCGCACAGCAGCCGCAGCAAGGCGTTGTTGAAGCTGTGGGCATAGCGGCCGGGGCGATTTACCTCCAAGTCCACGTTCCATCCTGGAACATACAGGGTTTAGGGTTTAGGGTTTAGGGTTTAGGGTTTAGGGCAGAGACGTGTAGGAGTGTAGGGTTTGGCATTTAGGTTTCAGGGTTCATGTACGAAAATCTTGGGTCCTCTGGGCGTGGAAGCGGTTGCTCAAACACGCGTTCACCAGTGCCGCGTCTCTGACGAGAGACAACATATTCTAGACATGGTAAAGAAATAATACCAATAGAAATAATCAATAATAATGATAACAATAATAAGTGTAGACATGGTACAAAATCTGGACATTTTGGGCATTTCTATGCTTTGGGATTGTATCTATGGTATAGACTACTCTAGACACTTTGGGCACGTCCATGCTTTGGGATTGTAGCTCACCGCGGCTGGACGAAAAGATATTGGACAGCCTTCTGCAAGGAAGGTACGTAGTCTTTTCTCTTTCGCATGCAGTGTTCAAAATGCTTAATCTTCCGAGGCGAGCACCGGTGCTGCCTCCATGTCATCTTCCACCTCAGCACAAGAGGTTCTTTGGTTCAGACCTAGGTCTCCAGCCTGTAGAGTCTCAAATCTTTGTTGCAAGGTCGCAAGACTGCCCGAGTTGTCTCTTGTCATCCTGGTTTTCGTAAGTGACCGTCTCCTTGCTTGCCCTCAAGGACATGATTTCAGTGTCACTAGCCCTCCCAACAAAAGAGAGGCTTTGAAGTCTGGTAAAGTTGGCTGACACTGTTCAGCTGCATACCCATAAGGGCCCACAATGAGGGGAAGCTCAAATACACGCGCAAAATGAATGGGCCAATCCGCCTGACACTTCAACCCCGCTTGCCCTAAAAGCCTACAGGCTGCCAGATGTAGATCCGAGCCAGATCATCTTGCAACAACCCCAACGCAATTGGTTCTAAGCACAGTTTACCGTTAAGGGTTTAGAAGTTAGGGTTTATGGCTCGAAGCACTGAGACGGGGATACGTTTTCAGCGATGGCAGTATAGGTCTAGAACCCAATTTTATACTATGTAGATGCTTAGGATCCTTTGGAAACCATGGCGGCTGAAGGTTGTGCAAACTACAGGTCACAGAAACGTTGTAAATACCAGACTCAAAGGCCAGCACGAGCTACCAAAAACCAGGAACCCTAAACCCTAAACCCTGAATCCTGAACCCGTTTGGCTTAGACCGAACCCGCACCCGAAGCCTGCAGCATTTTCTGGGCGCTCTTCCCGGAATCCATGTGCCTGGGCCCCCAAAATGTCAAGCCCTAAACTCAGAACACCAGGGGCGACCCTGCGCACCTTTAGAGATCGAATTCCAATGCATCTGACCAAAAATTTGGAGATACTTGGAGTTCTGAAATTCTGAACTCTGCAACTTCAGCCATATCCCAAAAGAATCTGCCACCAGCAACATCGTCTCGACGCGCTCCCTATAGCTCTCAGGCGCTGGCGACCAGTAGCGTCCTCGCTTTGGGGAAATGCTTGTGCAAGGCGAAGGAGATCGCTTCCCGGTGATGCCTGAAAATTGGCTTTGTGGTTGGTTCAAGGGTTCAGTTTGAGCTTTCTCTTGGTCTTGAGGCAGTTTGCACGTTCGGTTAGGGTTCAGTCTGAAAGAGTTGGGAGCGGTTTGAGTTTGTGGATAAATACTGCTGGGCCAAGGGCTGGGTGTATGGTGAGCTACGGCCAAGTGGGTTCACTTTGACAGCTGAGGATTCTCTAGTTAGGGTTGGACACCGTGATCAGAGTTGATGAGGTTGCAAGGTGCCTGAAAGTCTGCTTTTTTCATCATGTTCACGCAATCGTTAGGCTCCTGATTTCGCAGGCCCCCTGAGCTTGTGCAAAAATCAGAATACGATCAACCTTCATTTTGGTGGGGTCTCTTCACTAGGCGGGCTAGCATAGTCAAAAAATTCGGTGGACCTTGAACTGAAACTACATGCAGGAGCTTTTTCCTACTTGGGGGGGTGGGGAGGGTCTTTCCTGGATACCTGCTTTAGGGAACCTGTACGCCAGGGTCCGGGGTCCTCGCTGTTGGCATCATTTTGTCATTGTTATCTTTGTTTGTGCATAACTTGAGGAGCGACACTGATAGCAAGGAGGAGTCATCCAACCTTCTCGGAACACCGCGAAGCCAAATTATGAGGCTGTGCATGGGAACAGGTCATGGCTCAGTTGTTTCGATGCTGAGTTTTAGCTGCAGTAATACTACACGGGCTGGACAAATGACCGACATTGTTGAGGTAGCGCATAGTCGCATGCTGTAGCCATAGCAAGAGCATAGGAGCCAAATATTGGTAGTCGTCTAGGCATGTTACTTATTACGTGCTGCTGCCGTCCCCCTGCGTGGTGTGCGAAACATCTCTACTACACAAACCCAACTGACAAGCAACATTCTTGACAAATCTTATACACGTAGCTGTACATAATCTTTGTACACATCTATCATCTATGCTCCTGTATTACTGCTTTCCTGGATTCCTTGTCGAACTTGCGTGCCGTGCAAATCTCACAGCGGAGAAGCTCCAAAGACCGATCTGCCTGCTCCATTCCCAAGCTCATGCACCCTCCTTGGGCCTCTAAAAACCTGAATTCCAAACCCTAAACCCCAAATCACTAAGACAACCGAAACCCTGAACTCTAAACCCCCAAATCCCTGGAACCTTCACTCCACAGCTTAGGGTTGCGGTTGGAACGCTCCCAGGACGAGTTCACTAAGCTATCCGCTCAGTGACGCGAGCGTCGAAGTCGTTGAGGCTCTCGTGGTCGTGCAAGACCTAGGGAAGCATGTGCACACTTCCGTCTGGTATGCTGCGAAGGCACTAAAGAGCAGTTACGAGAACGTTGTTTCCATGTCCCTTATGTAGTTTTTCTAACTTGAAGCTATTGAATGTGACGCCTCATTTACTGGAGGGGGTCCCCCCCTCAAACAGACAGGGGTCCTATTTAGTGTCCTTCAATATAACTGTAGTAGGGCTCCTTAGAGTCATAATAGAATGTAACAGCAATTTAATGTCTTCCTTGCATTTGGCCCCTATAGAAATCTTATTTCAATCCTATTGTTTCCTTTCATTTAAGTACTGGGAGCCTGGGGAAGGGTTGAAGGCTGAGGGTTAAGGAGAGGGCTTGAATAGATGTTTCAAGCCCTGACAAAGAAAGAATTTTAATATTTCTTAAGCATTTTTGGCATTGCCCCCGAGATCGCTTAAAAAGAGGACCCCTTCCCAAAACAAGCCGCGACATTACCCGCAACCCGGCCCCTGAACTCCACCTAGACCTCCCAAGTACCCATAATAATAGCCTTTAACCCCCAAAATACTGGGTATATAATCATAGCCTTTAACCCCAAAACAATTATGGGCATATAAAACATAATAGCCTTTAAGCGCCAAAATAATAGGTATATAGGCCATTATTTTGGGTATTTGGGAGGTCTATGCAGTGGCAAGGGCATCATGTGGTCGTAGTCCAAACTGGCTTTCTCTGGAAGTGACCCTCCCGGGGCTAAACTCAAACCGATGCGAATCATAACTGAAACTGGAAGACGACCTCCTACTGTCACAAGAGTCCAAATTTGAACCTCGTGCAGCCATTTCTGAGGCTGCTGCCCAAGCCACTTTGAACAAACTCTGAGTGACCTGACAGCAAAAGCATGTGGGAGTTTGCGTAAATTACTGTTTCCAAAAAGGGGAGAGCCTATATAGGGACCCGTATTATGATAATAATCAAGATGTAAGGACCCGTACTATGGTGATTTCCGGACAATTCCCATGTAGTGGGAATGGATTGGAAACTTGCGGTTCGGTTTCGAGGTTGTGCAGGCTTCCGAAAGTTCTGAAATTTTAATATTAAACGCTGCCCGTAGGCGTGTCCTGGGCTTTTGAAGCCTCTGCCAGGCTAGCCCAAAGTCATGCTTTGATATGGAGTGCATGATGCTGCTGGCCTGCATCTTGCTATAGACTGGAATTTGTCAACAACAATTTTGCAACTGATCTCGCTGCTTGTTTTCGGGAATTGCATCGAATGGAAGGAACTGCGGTGCCGGTGGGAGTTGGGGGGTTTAGGCCCTCAACCCCTAAACCTCTAAACTTAAGCCATGGTAATCTCCTCCCCCTAATATTAAGCCCTCCCCTCCTCCAATGCTAAATATTCCTTATATAGTACTCTGTAATATAGTGGGGATGTTTAATATCAGGGGGGTTTGGGGTTCAAGCCCTGGGACCAGCCATATGCTTGAAACACACACAAGACAACCCAAGGCATGTAAAGACATGGCCCCAAGAGTTTACAGCATTTTAAGGTTTGGGGTGTATAGGGTTTACAGGGTTCATAAGGTTTTTGGGTTTTTAGGGTCTTCGTTAATTCAGGAACGCTAGGGTCCTGAACCCTAGGCACGAGGAATTTGGGCTTGTAGGGCTTACCTGTAGGCTAATACCATAGCCCTTTTTTTGGTTACCTTATTTTGTAATTAGAACCCTATAACCATAAAACGCGGTACCCTGGAAAAGGGCCCTGAACCTTCTACCTTGTAAACCCCAAGCCCAAGCGCTATAAAGCCAGGCTTTGTATAGCAGCTGTGTGCTTGCTCCTGGGCCTGTACAGCCTAAGGATTGGGTGTAAGGTTTTAGGCTTTGGTTTTCGGGCTTCAACTCAAGGGCACAGGGTCTGTGCACGGGGCCTCTGTTTGGCCTTGATCTTTCGGTGCGTCTGGCATGCCTTCAGTTCATATCCTGCCTGTATGCTTATACCATAGCCCTTTTTTGGTTGCCTGAGTTTGTAATCCGAATCCTATAACCATAAAACTAGGTACCCTTAAAAAAAGGGCTATGGTATAGGCCTACAGGTAGATTCAAGGACCTAGATCGAAGAGATGCAAGGGCGCTGCTTCAAAGTTGATTTTTCGAATTCCGTGCTGAGTTTGAGCTTGACTCTGCAAGTTCACGGGCAACCTCCAGAGGTGTCCAAGCCCGCATCTGACATGTGCAGTGCGGCAATGCTAAAACGTAGACTATTTCGAATCCAAGATGTCCCACTGCACGATGGACACTTTACATGGATTATTTCGAATTCAAGAGTATCCCGCTGCACGATGGAAACTTTACAGAACTTCCAGTTCGGTGCTCTGGACTCTCACTCACGAAAACCTTCATTATCAAACCAGGGCAGTCAACGTCCCTGCTTGCAAGGATTGGGAGCATTTCGCCTAGCTCCTTCAACCCGGACAACCTCTCCAGGGTTAGTAGGGAACAGGGGCATGTATTATAATATGGGGATCATGTTCCCTCGGTCCCTACTAACCCCCAGTAAATAAAAACCCTGATCTCCAAAACCGTCCCCCCATGCCCCAATAACCTATGCAAAACCTGGGGCAGAGCCGCTTTGGAGAGCTCACTTCCGCTCATAGGCCACAATGTAGGCTGGTAAGATGCCCTTGCCGTCATAGATCACAAACCTCACTTATTTGGCTCAAACTCATAACATCCTGAACCCTGGAGAGCCATAAAACTCAAGCCAAATCCTTAGACCATACACCGACACCCGAAGGAGTGGCAAGGAACCCACAAATTACGCTTCGTATCAAAAATCCAAGTCCCTGTTTAGGGGGAAGATGAAGTACCTGTAGGCTTATACCATAGCCCTTTACCTTATCTTATTTTGTACCATAAAAATAGGTAGCCTAAAAAACGGCTATGGTATAAGCCTACAGGTAGGATTTAAGTGAATGTGGCCACTGAGTTCCGGGACCTTGGGGTTTCAGAGCCCAGGAGCTCCCTGAATCGCTTCAACAGCCGGTGCTTCTCCGCGATGAGCGCATGGTAGCGCACCGGGGGACTGAGGTGTTCCACCTGGGGTTTCCGGCCAAGCCAAGATAGAGGAAGCACGTGGAGAACTTTAAGGGCTGTAAGGGTTTCGGGGCTTTCAAAGTCCCACCTGGACCAGTTCACCTTTCCGGCTATTGGCGAAGATCGTGGCCCCCGGTGCCAGCCGCGTCTCCGTTGGCGGTGAGCCCATGGCGACTTCGCCATCCTGTGTGTAGAGCGGGAAGCCCAAAACCACCTTGCAAACCAGCATGAAATAAACGTCCTCCTTTGGGATGCGGAGGCCGCAGTCAGTGAACAACTTGGAGCGGATCGCTACGGCCGCGGTCTCTGAAGACCTTGGCTCCAAGGGCACGGCATACTGGTCTGCCTTGGCGGCTTCCTCGGCTAAGTAGGCACCCGAGCCGAAGAGGCCCCCGGAGAGGCGCTCACTGACACCGGTGTAGGCAACGTTCAGGAGGTGCTCCATGTGGGTCCCGTGGAAGACGAGCTGCTCGTTGCAGCTGGTGTCCAAGCCTCTGTGCTGTGAGTCCCGAACCCAGCAACAGCTTCGACCCTCAATTCTTAAATTGCGAAGGTGGCCTTTGCCTCACTCTTCAAGTCTTAAACCTGGAACCTAGCTTACAAAGAGAAGCTGACCCTAAAGCCTGAGCCTGAACTACCCTAAGCCCGGAAACCACCAGAAAAGATTTAACAAACCACTGATGAGATGCCCCAGGAATCGTGCAGGCCATCTGTGGCAGTAGTCACGCATGGAATGCGGCCACGACGGAAAAATTCTGATGCGACTCCTTGGAGGAGGTTTTGGCGCTCAGTCTTTGGGGCTGAGGGTGCATTAGGCCTCAGCCTCAAACGGCATTCTAAAAACTTTTGAGCTCCAGAGTCAAAATCCCCCAACTGCCCTAAACCCTAAACCCTAAACCCTAAGCCCTAAACCCTAAATCCTAAACCCTAAACCCTAAACCTTAAACCTCAGGATAACAGTGCTTGAGGTCGTGGATCAAGCCTTGGAGTGTGAGGCTGGAAGTTTTCCCCTAAAGCGCCCAGGCCCAACTCCAAACCCCAACAAACGAACAACTTAACGAACAACTTCCCTAAGGGAATTAGGGTTTAAGGGTTTAGGGTTTAGGGTTTAGGGTCCATGCAAGTACCAATATATTATGGACTCTGGTTTTCTATCTAGGGAATAAACAGTATGATTTTCACTGAGTATTCATTATTTAAGGACTTGGACCCTTATGGCTTTGAAATTTTCACCCATGCCAAAACGACCAATCCCCCCCCCCTCCAGGTGCCAGCAAGCAACGGGCGACTTCTTGCTGGATCACGTACTTCCTCCGCTGCTGCTTCGGATTTTAGGCTATGGGGTTCAGGGTTGGCGGTTGTTATGCCTTCTGATTTGAGTTTCAAGCGTCAGGGTCAAAGGGTCAAAACGCTGCACCCACCTGAACCCA